GAGGAAGTAATTTCGCAGGTTACGGACTTGGCTGTGGCAGACCTCCTTCACATCAAGGGTACCTCTTCCCCCCTATTTGCGGGGGATGTGTATTCTCTCCTTAGCGGCTCTTGGGTGATGCTTATTCCACTTGGTCATCAAGGTTCTGACTTTCCTATTAAGCCCCTCAAGCTCCGTGTCAGACCATGGGACAACGCCAAATGAGTACGCTAACGCAGGAATGGCGAAGGTTTTGATTGCCTTGGTCGTATGTTTTGAGTTTAGAGAGGTCTTAAGTATCGCACTCAGCCGATCAACGAAGGTGTTAACCAGGTGCTCTTTGACTCTCACCTTCTGGATGGAAGAGCTCTGCCACATTCCAAGGTATTTATAAGCATCCTCCATTGTCAAGCTATTGATGACGTCACCAGAATTGGTCACAAAACCATCCTCCCGCACTATAACGCCGTTTTCTATATGGAGCGTCGCGCATTTAGGTACTCCAAGCATCATGCCAATATCATCACTGACCTCTTCAATCACCTTGAAAAGTTGATGCAACTGGTCTCTTTGGGATGCATAGATCTTAATATCATCCAAGTAGGCTAGGTGGTTGATGACGTGGAGTACTTGTCTGTTCCGACATAGAGGGAACCCTACCTTCATCTCTCGAATGCAATTTGAGAGGGGATTGAGGCCTAAACAGAACCACAATGCACTAAGACTGTCACCTTGAAAAATACCTCGCAGGATGTGGATGACCTCAGTTTCTAATTCACTCGCCGATCCTTGTATTATGATTCTGGTGCGCCAAGATGCCAAAATGCTCTTCAGGAAATGAACAATGACAGGATGGACTCGGTAGATATTTAAAACGTGAATTAGCCAGCTGTGCGGCATTGAATCAAAAGCTTTTTTGTAGCCGATGTAACCCACATGTAAGTTACGACGTTCCTTTACAGCCTGCTTGAGCACAACCGAATCAATTATTAACAGCTCTTTGCACCCGAAGCTTCCCTTGCAACACCCTTTCTGCTCTTCACACAAAATTTTCCACTTAGCTACATGTCTCCCAATTAATCGGGTTACAATGGATGTGATGACTTTATAGAGCGTGGAGAGACATGTAATCGGTCTATACTCAGATGGGTCCTTCGAATCGCCTCCTTTATGTTTCGCAAACGTCACTCCTTCAGTCAGAAATATCGGCATTTTGTCAGGATGAGTAATAATATCTTGAATGCTTCTTGAAAGCTGCGTATGCACACATGTTAACTTTTTCAGCCAGAAATTGTGAACTTTGTCTGGTCCGGGAGCCTTCCAGTTATGAATATGCAAAGTTGCTCTCCGCACATCTTCCTTAGTGATTTCAACCTCACCTTCATGTGTAATGTGGGCATGACGCACTGTTTCCTGCTCAATCCAAGGAGCTGTGCTATTATGCTCCTTGGCCTCTGACCAGATGGATCGCCAAAATTGCGTTACGTCATCTTTCGATGGGATTTCTTCGGGAGCGTTTCTCACATCCGCGGCGTTTCCCATCCTTCGATAGAAGGCTCTCTCATTACGCTGAAACAGAGCATTATCTAAATGGCGCTGGTATGATTTTTTATATCTTCTGAGTCGGGCAGCTTGAACTTTTAACTTCTGCTTCAGTGTATCAAGATGGGTTAAAAGGTTTTCCTCATTCACATGGGCCATCTTCGCCTTTAACCTCTTTGAGGTATTCCCCTTGACACACTGGGTGACTCTCCCAATCTCCTGCCTTAGGTTGGCCACTTTCCTTTCAATCCTAAGTTGCCATCTTGGTGCATTCAGTTTGATTCCCCTACGCCCATGATTTGTGGGGCCTTTGACGGCTTGTGTTATCGCCTGAGCTGCACAATAGATGATGCAATGAACTTCCTCTAACGTTGATTCTTCACGAATGTGTGCTGGTATAATTCGGTTCATCCTCTCAATACACGCGAACAACTTAGGAGTGTAAGGAAGTTTTGGCAGTGACTGTCTAAGATTTGGACTGACTCCTTGCCATTTGATCATTTCAGCAATAAATGCAACCTCTAGCGTATCAGCTTTGATAACGTTCTCGTCAGCAGTATCAGTCGCACACTCATCATGCTCCGCATGTACGATGCCTTCATCAGTGTGTAATCCCGATACAATGTCTCGCTGTTCCACCGGACCGTCTGTGGAAGAAACTGACGCGGGATCAGCCTCTAGTACGTTTTCTTCGTCTTCACATTCACCGCGAGAAATTTCAAGTTGGACTTCATCTTTGATATTCTGCAGATCATCAGCAGACATTTTACAAGACTTCAGTATCACTCGCTTTTGGTCCATTAGGCGCTGCTCTGAGACATTTTTGCAGTCAGGGAATCTATCAAGAAAAAGTTTCCGCATTTCCGCCCGGTATCCAGGAATCGTTTCCATTATAGACGCGAGGTAATAACAACGCATGACGTGTTGATTCATGCTTAGAGTCCAAGCCATGCGTTGCCTGAGTTTCCCTGATCTAGTGGTCGTCGGCTGACTAGTCGACGAAACACTTGGAGCAGGGTTGGTATTGTTGGTTGGCCGTCGTGCCATGCACTGGGACGATCCACGACCATCTTCGTTCCCAGCGTGGGGACTATTATGCGCGCCATGTTCCCCAACCCTTGACGCGACCGAGGCTCTTCTTTTATCGTCTTGTGCAAGAAGATCACTGACTGGGGGCTGCAAACCCCCAACCAGGGATGCGCAGCTGGTTTTTCAAGTTGGGACAAGCCCAACTCTACTTCCTCGGACGCCCCTGGCGATGTTTTGGCCACGAGGATGCCCAGCCACTTGCTCGGGTACCGCGGGGTCGCCAGCCCTCGAAAGGGCCTCCCGTACGACATTGAGGTCGCCCCTGAGGGATTATTATTATTATTATTATTATTATTTATATGTGAAGTTATCTCCAGCTTTGCTGGGTAGTTGGGCTCTCTTCACGTGAGCAAACAATGCTCATTGGTAGAGAGAGTAGAGTGGGTTGAGGCCGGTGTTAACTTGGCTATGAATGGCCAATTTACAGCCGACGATAAGGTTTGCAGTAACCGGGGTGAGAACTGTGTCTTAAGACGCCCACCCAGAGGTTGCTTCTCGTCGATGATGGTGGGGTAGGGGTTTAGGTTGTGGGGGAACAAATGAGTATGGATTCTTTGGTTAAGGTTTTCAACTTAAGACTTTCCTCAGTATCCTAGCAGTTCCGAGGATTGCTGCTTTCTGAGCTGTGACAAGAGAGTGCTTCCCAGGGATTTCTTCCTTAAGTTTCTTCCATTCTTTCGAGACTGCTCCCGTCGCGCCGATTACGAAGGGTATGACTTTCGTGTCCGTTTTCCACATTCTACTTATCTCGATTTCTAAGTCTTTATACTTGAGTCNATTTCTCTAAATAAGCTCTTGGTATAACGGAATATTGGAGTTACGGCGGTTTTGGAAGCAGCGAGCCAATATCGCGCCGCGAAATCGGTGGATCCGCGAGTTTTTCATGACACAGCTTGTCACATCCGTCAGTGACATCGCTCGGTGACATCACCAGACACAGCCTTGTCAGATAGCCCGAGGAATCCCCCAATTGCGTATACCCCAGCCTCGGGCGCCGGGCGACCGTGAGTCCACGGGTGGCAACCTAACCAGTTGCTTTCCGCGGATTTCGGAGTCCTGACGGATGTGACATGCTTGGTCAGGGGATTTTGGCGAGCTAACCGTGGGAACGACGCCCAAGTTAGCAGGCCTAGGGGGCCCACGAGGAGCTCTCTGAAATCCCCTGAAGTCAGTCGTCTCGCCACCTATGTGCCTGCGCCTCCTCGCGGATCCACCGACGCGCGTCTCACCCCGTAGTCAGGTCCACGAGTAACCCTCGGCCGAAAGTTGTGGTCCTACGGTCCGTCCCCGACCCCCCTTTCGCCCCAGCGGTCTTTCACCCCCTTCTGAGTCCTTGACTCCTCAAGTTGCCCCGTCCCGCGTCTCACCCCGGTGATTGAGCTTTGAGTATCCCTCCCCTCGCCGAAAGTCCCGTCCAGCATCCCCGACGGCTCTTCCTGCTTGGAGACCCTCCCCCCTTTTTGTAGTAGTTGTATCTGTGTGATAGTTGTTAGAGGTCTGTGTGACCTAGTTGTAGTTGTACCGTTACCCAATACATCGAGTGGCCACCTCCTACTTACGTGTTCCTTCTTCGCCTTAGGATTCTAGGATACGTTCTTCAGGTAGGTGACCACCTATATAGAGTGAAAGGGCTCTTACATCCCCCTAGATCTACCTTCCCTATTCTAGGACTACCCTTTCTGGTGGATATACGCCCCCCCTCCATCTGCGATCATCCCCTACGTGTTCAGCCACTTGGCTCAAGAGCTGAGCACGTTTCTAAGTCTTTATACTTGAGTCTTTTTTCGGCTTCCTTCAATGATATGTTCCTATCCGCTGGGATTGACACGTCGATAAGCAAGCAAGTTTGCCCCCTTTTTCGCAGTATGATGTCAGGCCTGTTGTTCGGAACCGTCCTATCAGTTCTGACAGGAACATTCCATATGATAGTTGTTTGTCCATCATCCGTTGCTGTGATAGCTTTTGGCTTGTGCTCGTACCAGTTTGTTTCGACTGCTATATTGTACTCTTTGCACAGGTTATGATGGAGATGGGTGCACACTCTGTCATGTCGTTCTATGTAGTCCTTTTTGGCAAGGATCGGGCACGCCGATATTATGTGATCTATAGTTTCCTCGTGCTGATGGCAAATTCTGCACTTACTGTCTCGGGCTCTGCCGTGTATTTTCCGATCTCGCTACCTAGTGTTAAGAGCCTGGTCTTGGGCTGCTGCAATTAGGCTTTCGGTTTCTCCTTTTAATGCTCCTTTGCTCAGCCACATGGTTGAAAGAGTGCTTTCGACTCTGTCTTCTTCCAGTAAGCGAGGGTACTGACCGTGCATGTTCTTTTCGGTCCATTTTGATCTTAAGGTTTCGGCTATTTTCTTCTTGATTGTTTGGTTCCTGCTTTTAACTGGTGTTTGTTCAAAGTTTTGTTCTAACTCAGTTTCAAACTTGTCAGCTTTTTTGGTAATCGAGTGTAGCGTGTTCAGCTGGGTGTCCGCCTCGTGTACCGATTTAAGAAACAGATCTTCATTTCTCTTCTTTCTCAGGTAGTATTTCGTACTGATAATGGTGCACTTGTACGCTGCTTCTATCTGTCTCAACCCTCTTCCTCCCAGTTTTCTGCTGACGTAGAGTCGGTGAACATCCGCGGATGGGTGGTGCATTTTGTACATTGTCAGGTATTTTCTTGTTTTGACGTCCAGAGCTCGGATTCCTGTCATCTTCCAGTCTAGGATTGCAAATCCGTACTGAAGCACGGGAACTGCAAGTGCTCCGATGGCCGAAATCTTATTTTTTGCTGACAGCTCTGTCTTTAATACTGCCCTAACTCTTCGGATGTATTCTTTCTTGACCTTCTCTTTGACTGTTGTATTTTGCACTCCTGAATTCTCTTCCATGCCCAGGTACTTGTAAGTTTCACCAAGGTCCAGTTGTCTGATGCTGGTTTCATTGTCGATGGTTACATTTTCACCTTTAAAAAACTTTCCTTTCTTGAAAGTCACTTTGGCGCACTTATCCAGGCCGAATTTCATTCCGATATCGTCACTAAATTCTTTTACTGTTTTAAGCTGTTGTTGAAGCTTTGTTTCATTGCTACTGAAGAGTTTCAAGTCGTCCATGTAAAGGAGGTGTGTCGGTTGTTTGTAACCATCCTCAAGGTCGTATCCGTTCTGTTGTTCGTTCAGCTTCTTCGATAGGGGTATTAGTCCTATGCAAAACAGAAGGGGCGAGAATGCGTCTCCTTGATAGATTCCACGCCTGATTTTGATTTCCGAAGTTACGATTTGGCCCGCGTTTCCGTTCAGTTGGATGACAGTTGCCCAGTGTTTCATCATGTTCTTACACGCGTTGACTAGATTTGGGTGGACTCCCAGTATCTCCAGTGCTCGTATGATCCAGCTATGTGGCATGCTGTCGAAGGCTTTTTGGTAGTCTAGCCATGCTACGGATAGATTCTTCTTCCTCCTTTTGCAGTCTTCAATGGCAGTCTTGGATATAAGGAGTTGATCTAAGC